AATTTATTCAGTATATTTAATGATATGCAAAACGGAAAAATCGTTTTCTTCATTGTTTGTTTCATTCAATGACTGTCAAGATATTTTTTTCTTGTCTATTAGATTGTACAGATTATAAATCAGTTGGTTTTAAGCGTTGGAAATGGTTATTTTATATTATGCATCTCATTAGATATTTATATAAATGTATAAATGTATACTACAACGTTTCTGCAATCGCCGAGTGTATATATATATATTTTAATATATAATAAAATAAAAAAAAAAGAAAGGAAACAATGAGTTTAGAGTCTACTACAATTATCGTAATATTTTTTCACGGGTTAGAAAAAATCACTCTACCACCACCACCACAGTCATACTGCTACTGCTACTGCTAATAAAAGTAACAATGATAGCGGCAATAATAATGATGGTGATGACAATGATAAAGACGACAATAATAAATGAAGAAAAGCAATGAAAAATAAAATAATGGAACGGTTGATATTAGGGCTACCGTACAGGCAACCCTCTAATTAAAATAAACAGGCATTGACGAGGAAGGTGAGAGGAAAGGGGGAGGGGGATTGCTTCGAAGCAACTGTCCCATTAAACTTTCCAAATATTCCTAAATCTAGCATTTCAAACATGTTCCTCAGTAAACATCTACTTCCTAAGATCCACGAGTTTGTACCAGTCAGTCACAGTAATGCTGAGGTCTACTTTAGAAAGATCGATCAAGACACCGCCAAGAAAGTCATTCTCACCAACCCTATCATGATCCCACACGGTTACTTGGAGCTGACGTCGTCCGAGTTCTGCTTTATGGCGATTACTATACACCAGCGTCTCGTTGTACGTGGGATTTAAAGTTCTGAAAAAAGGAAGAGATATCGTTATTTTTTCTTAGTGAGATTTTTAAAATTTCTTATTTTGGAGTAGAAAGCCATTCTTATTACTAGAATATTGATTCCTTAGCCTCAGTGCAYGCCTCTCGCCTGAGAATAAGTCCATTGCGCACATGTGAGGATATGCATAYGAAATATGCGCGGTATGAATATTTRAGTTATAATTATTACTAGAGACCTTTGGCATCGTGTTTACCGCTAACCGCTAGGAATCAGGCCCCGGAAAACGCCCGCAAACACGGAGAAACACCCGTCATTAATGAAATTTAATATGGCCACTCTTTCAACGACAACTTCGTTATGACGCCTTGATAAATGTCGAAAGTTTGAAGGAAAACTCCTGACGTTGAACTGCAGTTTGAGGTTTGCGGTACATAGCAAGAACGTCTTGCTAAAGGTCTCTAAAACAATATGCTACAAGCTATAGTAAATATGTTTCATATTTTAAGAACAGCTTTTTATTTTTATTTTGATGTTAAAATTCCATTGGAATCCATTGATGGCCAACATTTACYACAATTCCAAGAAGTCTAGAGTGGAGTAGCTGTAACTCGCATCTCGCCTTTGGGGTCTTAAGTTTGATTCCTGGACCTGTCATGTGAGTAGCGTTCGTTAGGTCTCTCTTTCGATGCGAGGGTCTTTTTCCGGGTATACCCCGGCTTTTCTCCCTCCATAAACCCAACAAGCTAATTCAACCTATCAATCTGCAAGCTTGCTGAGCCTTGACTTAGATCAGCCCATAGGTTGTTTAATAATGAATCGATAATTCAAGTTAGCTGAGCCCTGACTTTGATCAGCTCAGAGGTTGTTCGTGGGGAAAATCTGTGAGTTAGCCGTGCCCTGACTTAAAAATTAGCYCAGAGGTCATGCTTTAGGGTTAGATGAGATTTATTTTGGTTTGGTTTTGTAAAGTAAATATTAACATACTTCTTTGCGATCTTGGTTTTAATCTTGGTGACTTTCTCTGGATCTGGCAGCAAATACAACTTAACATACGGATCAGCCGAGCCTCCTGGACTGCGTGGAGACAGATCTTTCGCATGCATCACCATTACACGTAAAGAATCCCGCTCGAACCGCAGTGACAGCTTGATCTGACCCGTGATAGAACGCGTAGCTTTCTCTTCTGGCAACAACTGGATAGAAAACTTGGAAGCTTCCTCTTCGTCCATCAAGAGAGAATGTAAGAACGTGTAAACAACATCTGACTCTGCGATCTCGCTGGGCATGATCAAGAGATGTCGAATGTAATCATCCAACTCTGCCCGTCTTCTYTCGGCAACTGTACGAATCTGGGACCTCCCGAGCAAAATCTTCGCAGGAAGTCTAGGAAGATTTACCTCTGGGTAAAGATCGGTGAGTTTAGAGTGAAGCTCTTGGAAGTGCTCGAAGCGACGAAACAGAAAGGTAGGTTTCTTGTCCGTCACACGGCAGATATTGATGACATAAACGTAATATTTTTCTCCGGGGGTGTGGCGTTTCTGGATGTCCACCACTCGGGCTGAGTCAATGTACCCGTCCGAGTCCACGCTGTAAGACTTGGGAGCGAAGGACAGAACTGAGTTGGAGTTGCCAACACTGGAACGTTTGAATTGAGTAACATCACGGATMTGCGCAACGTTGTGAATGAAGAAGTTGATTTGCGTGAACATGGAGGAAAGACTGGAATGGATGAGGCGAGTAAATTCAGCCGTTGCGTCGGCATCGTTCGCATTGGGCATCAAGGAATCACGGATGTACTTCAAATCGTGCATGCTGCTCAGAGATGGGATCCCGGAGTTCAACATAAGAGACAGAAGATTCAAGAACAAGTTAGCGTGTCGTCGGACCAGATTGAAAGCCCTGCAGCAAAGATCAACGAAATGTTGGAATCGAGGGCTTGGCTGGTATCCRCCATTGATGACAAATGCCATATCTGACGTCAGTACAAAAGGAGCCCGGTCCCGACGAAAAGTCCCAAACATCTGCGCATGTCCAAGGATCTTAGAGAAGTCAATATGAAAAAGATGGCCACTTTTTCTGATCATGATGTTATCGTTGTGACGATCACAGATGCCCAAGACGTAGGTAGCGACGCAGTACCCTGCACACGAAGCGATGAAGTTATCAACAGCACTACGGTAGTCCTTTTCCACTGGGTTATGTTTGAGTAGCCAACGTGCGATGGGTTCGTCTTTGAAGGACCCTGTCAGGCCAAACTCTGTTTGGATCTCACGAAGAGTCTAACAAATATAACATTAGACATACTAAGAACACTTTGAAATACTTCGTCATCCCTTATTTATTYTAAAATAATTATCTTTTCTTGAGGAATTGAAATCTCTATATTCTTGTTTTGATTAGCAATTGACTCTCACGGGGTCTCAGGTTCGATACGTGGTTTTGGCATCATATGTGAGTACAGTTGTCTCTCCCTTAATTCGAGGATTTTTCTCCTCTTTCTCCGTTTTTCCTTAATAACTTTATTTATATACTTCCTTCTTCCTCAAAACCAATTACGCTAAATTCCAATTTGATATGATAGTTAGCCGTTGCCTTACTTAGATCAGTCCAGAGATTATACTTTCCTAGCTTATAAATAATTTCATCATTTACAGCCCAGAGGTTATTTCAATGTTCGATCTGTGAGTTAGCCGTGCGCTGACTTAGATCAGCCCAGACGTTCTTTCAAGTTTCGATCTGTGAGTTAGATCCGTGCCCTGACTTAAATTAGCCCAGAGGTAGGTTCAGAATATCGATAAACTTTGAATTTTTTCATATAAAAGGCAATATGAACAAAAGTTGTTCGTACACGAGCTAGACCACGATACTCCTTGTTCACTATGCCTATTCAAACGACCTATTATCCTAGATTTGTAACCAGGAAAAAAAGATGAATTAGCTTCAACAAACCTGTGCATCACTGACAATCTCAATCATCCCCATGTTGGGCCCAGTTGCCATGCACTGATACGTTATCATCTTCAAGTCCAGTCCCTCACGGAACCAGATCTTGCTCATGATGCCCACGAGCTGCATGGACAGCGTGTCTTGGCGAATGTCATCTCCCATTTTGAAAATGACATTGACGTTTTCGCCAAATGGATCTGTGTTTTTGAATATTAGTCTCAAGGGAGCGGAGTTTGACGTGAAGTAACCAGAGGAMTTAACGTCTAGACCTGATACTTCCATGCTGGGAGTCAAGGGAAGGCGGAATACACGTGGAAGACTGCCAGCCAAAGCAGCGAGCTCCTGTTGAAGAAAAATTCAATGCTCTTTTATTTCGTCAGATACATACTCTAATACTCTAATTGCTGAATTTCAATACARTGTGTGCAACCATGTGACTCAAAATCCTTGAGATATAAATAACAATGAAAAAGCCGCCATGTTGGGCGATCTAACAAGAGAAGCTAATGAGGAATGCTTTGCTATCAAAGATGGTGGTTATGACGTAACATGCACAAGCTTTATCAGTTTATAAAAGTCTTTGAATCTCATTATCTGCTCCAAATGGTGGTCAAACACTGTGCTAACCACCATGTGCTGTCAACCAGAAAGAATTATATTTTCTACTTTCACATCCCCATAATGCCTTGCGTCTTTGGGGGGTAACAAATCAAAAAACTGTCCCAAATTGAAAGGTTTCTTAATTGAATTTATACTATACCTGCTTTTATCTGTACAATACTGATTATCAGTTTATTCCAAGTTATTTTTGCGGTTACAGATCATCAAGAATTTTGGTCTTACAGAAAATGTATTGACTTACGAATATTTTTTTAAAATTTACCTTAAACGTCTTCAAGCTTCTATCGTTTTCTGTTTTTTACTTCTTTCAGTTTATTTTTGGATACCAAACAAGGTATTTCCAACATTGTCTGATCAGCCTTCAGCAAAATAAGTGGGTTTTTACCCACTGGTTACCCCCCAAAGACGCAAAGTAATATGGGGATGTAAAAGTAGAGAATTGAAAACTTGTGATTCAGTTGATGAACATTTCGCACGAGACCGTGGGAAATTACGTCAGTGAAATTAAGCAATTAGTGACGGACCCTTGAAATCATGATGAAAAGAGGTGCATATAACACATTTTATTCGGATGATTTTGGGTAATGGCCACCTTCGCATGGATTTTAACCTATGTGTGTCAATTACTCGTAGCAACGTGAACAAAAAAGAAATTGACATTCAAGCTCTAATGAATTCTCCTTAGATAGCTCCCACTTCAATCTGAACCGAGTTCAAGATCAATCTAACCGAGTTCAAGATCAATCTAACCGAGTTCAAGTTAGCAAATCGCTCATAGATTCCCATTGATTGTCCTCTTATTGATCACAGATGACTCCTTAAAACACTCAAGCGGAACCACGAGAGCAGCGACAACGTTAAAAGAGAGATGCATTAGCAGCTGTCAAATCCAACTAGAATACATGAGCGGAGATTGAAGAAAATAAGGAATCAAGCTAAATCAATGACGGCCATATTAAAGGGGGTAGGGGGTGGGGGGATGGATTGCTTATGGCCAATTTAATTATGTATATTCAGTGTTGCCAGAAATGTCTTATAATTACAGCTTCAATTGTCAATGAGAAGTTATGAACTGACACTATTTCTTATCTCTCTTTTTTCTTTCTTTCTTTTTTTTTTTTCGTTGCGAGAAAATCGATAGTAAATGGTAGCAAAGGCGATACTGCTATATAAATCCGTGTGGCATCTCTTTTCTATAGCTACTCCATAGGATACAGCCGGAGCTTGAATACTAGGGCTAGGGTATTATTGATCATTCCAAAAATCTGTTCTTCCTGCAACAAGGACAGATGGTCTTTGTTCTGTGCATTCTAATCATAAAGAATGACTTTAAAATAATTATTTTCAAACTGATGAATAGTAAATGGAAATCCGTGTGACACCCTCTTTTACAGTTCTACTCCGTAGGATACAGCCAGAACTTGAATACTAGGGCATGATTGATCATTTCAAAATCTACTTAATGCAAGGACAGATGGTCATGGCACCTGCATCTAAATTGTATCCCATTGAGAAAGTCAACGTAATTTTCGAAGTTGAAATTTTCAGTTGGAGTTAAGATGGATGGACTTGAAAATTATCCCACATACATCCGTGTTTTCTTCAGTCAAGAAGATGGTAATATAGAGTGGGTTGAAAATATCGCAACTGGCACAGGTCTCCTTCATGCTCTTTTGACACTAACTGCAACGCTGGGAAATGGGATGCTTATCGTCGCCATCTCGAGATCCCAGAACCTACAGACACCATCCTACTTACTGATAACAAGTTTAGCCTTCACAGATCTACTGGTGGGTTTGGTATTTCATCCTTTACAAATCTCGATATCTCTCTTTTACTTTCGCAAAGATGTTAAAGCCGTACTTTTCGGGATGGAATTTTTAGTTTGCATCTCGATGTTTCTTGGAATAACATCGTCCCTTATGATGACATGCATCAGCATAGACAGATACCTGGCACTCAGACTAAAACACCGATATCGAGTTATCGTTACTAAGAAACGAGTTCGTTTACTAATTGTGATCGTTTGGAGTTTCTGTTCTCTTCTGACAACCCCGATTACTTTTTGGCGTAAACCGGGCGCTGCTTTTTRCGCTAGCTTTTTTTGCTTAAATTTTCTTTTTTTGTCAATAACTTGTRTATTTTACATTAAAATGTTCAAGATTCTTCATCTTTACACAGTCCAAGTTCAAGCCCAACAACCAAACCCGTTGGCTGGGAACTTTGATCTCGTCAGATACAAGAAAACTTTGAAGACTATGCTTGTTGTGCTAGGATGTTTTCTTCTTTGCTCCGTCCCGACCATATGTGTAGCATTAGCAATGGCTGTAGTCGGCTTCAACAAAGAAACAATATTGCCTCAAGCCATAGCACTGGCCACACTGGGCCTCAATTCAAGCATCAATCCAGTTATCTATGTCATACGATTTGCAGATATTCGTAACGCTTATCGAGAAATGCTGAGGATTGGAAATTGATTCGAAAAAATTTACTGCGATTCACATAGACATGCAAACTCTGTGTCTGCAAATTTGAAAATTGGTTTTTCGCTGCCGTCAATCGAACCTAATYAGTCGGTACCTTTCATATTTTTGACTGGTGGCAGCGAAAAACCAAATTTCAGCGTGCAACTCAGAGACACAGAGTTTGCATGTTTATGAAAATAACTTTTGAGGAATAACTTGACTAATGGTCGTGGGTCGTAGGAAAAGTCGTGGGCACTGAAAACTTCTTGAAAAATAATAGACATAATAAAAGAACCTGTATAGATAAGAAATAAGAAAGGAAAAAATGGGTATAGAGCAAAAAAAAAAAAAAAAAAAA